AACTTCATGTGACACGAATTTCGAATTTATTTTCACATATAGAAAAGCAGCCTCAGGGAAATGTCACACGACTATTAGTACTTATTATTATTACTAAAATCCTACCAAAAAATCCGTTGTCTGTTGAAACGCGATTTAAATCGTTGAAATGAGAATTTTTTAATTAATATTAATATAGTGCAGGACATCTATAACGGTCAATGATTATCACATGACTTTAAAAGCCTATAACTCCTTATTAAAAAAGAAAAAGAAAAAATTGAACCGATAGAATTAAAGACGTAAACTTCATTTCTTTCGGTTTATTTTTTCATTATATTAGAAAAGTGGCTTCAAAGTTAGACCATTATATATATATATATATATACATTTTCTTTTTTCAACTAAAAGGCAATTTTAATTATTGATCATTTATTTATGATATTGAAAACGAATAAATTACAACCATTCCATTATTATTTCATTAAAATAATACCTTTATTTGGACATAAAAGTTAATCAGTGTATTAATTTGCTAACTTGCTTCAGAGTATATACAAAAAAGTTACTATGATCGATATTTCTTCCTATTGATATGATTTATTATACATTTGTAAGCCTAAAACAGATATATATAAAAATGATTAATTAACTAACTTGTTAACTTTGGCCTTTATCGAATAACTGTGACTTGTGTACTAAGTAAAAAGGTTCCCACGCCAAAATGCACACGTGTACATGTAATTTCAACTCTGATTTAAGACTATTGAAGGTGCCAAAAGAAATTTAATGATGCTGAATCTATATTAATTAACTTTCTGAAAAGAGAAATGAGGATCCCCTTTTTTTTCTATTGTTATTATTATTGTGCATTGTGGCTTTGATACAAGGAACAATTTTATTACGATAATGAAAAGGGAAATATTATTATTATTATTATTATTATCATTATCATTATCATCATCATCAAATATAAATACACTCACAAATTTCCTCACATCCAAATTATTATTAGCTTTTAAATAAAAAAATGGGTATTAAAATTATCGGATTTGGTAAATCACCCACTACTCTTAGAGTAATTCTTACCCTTCAAGAGTTAGGTCTAGAACATGAATTTGAAGAAGGCGTTTATAATGAAATGAAATCACCTGATTTTCTTGCCACAAAAAATCCATTGTAAATAATCTTTATTATTATTAACTTTTTTCGTGTTAATGTCTTCTTCAAAAATAAATTAACTATTATCATTTATCATTGCTATATTTAATAGCGGGAAAGTCCCAGTAATGATTGATGACGGTTTTACACTTTACGAATCGCGTGCAATCTGTCGTTATCTCGTAAACAAATACCAAGGAACCAAGAATTCTACAATTTTGATTCCAAAAGATATACAAAAGGCCGCTTTGGTTGAACAATACTTATCGGTCGAAAGTTTATATTTTGATTTACCATCAACAGCCATTAATTTTGAAGAAATTGTTGCTGTAAAGTATATGAATAGAGAAGCTGATGCTGAAAAGGTCAAAGAAGCAAAAGAAAAAATTGAAAATACATTGGATATCTATGAAAAATTTCTCGAGGGAAAAGATTATTTGATTGGTGAATATTCTTTGGCTGATCTTGTTCATATAGCTAATATCTATGTTAATGTTCATAAAACTAGCGCTAAAGATGTATATTATGATGCTAAAAGACCCAATGTTGTTAAATGGGTGAAAAGGATTTTCGAAAGACCTGCTTGGAAACAAATAGCAGCAAATCTTAATTCCGACTAATGTATTTTTCTTTAAAATTTTATTAATTTAGAATCTATTGATATTAAAATTAACATTTTATTTTGCAAAAAAGAACATTAAGAAGTTGTTTCGCTAACTCGACCAAATTTGATTGCATTTTTTTAAATTTTTACTTTAAAAATAAAATTTATTATCACTACCACTGCCGCCTTCTTCACCAATCTCTATTCTAATTGTTTCACAATCGTCATCACTTTTATCACCATCAATTATAATATCCATATTATCATTTTTGGTATTTTTTAGACATTTTAATTTTTGTAATTAAAATAAATATACATCAACTTAAAACATATCCAGGTTTCTCTTTTTATCATGTGTAAAGAAAAAGTGGATCAGGTCTTTTTAAAAGCAAGCTGGGCCGAAATTATCAATTCTACCCAATTTAGATTTTACCTAATAAATTG